AGATTGAGACATAATATAATTTAAACAACTAGTATCAGGCTGCAACATAACAAAATTAAAAAAAGTGAAGGGGGTCTAAATTTATGAATGCACTGTATATCTCATAATTTGTGGACGGACTCTATAACTTTCCTACTGACTAAACAATATACACTAATTTTGGGTTATTTTCACCAAAGAAATGTAGCATAATACATTTTGGCCCTAAGTTATAAAGAGAGATTATTTGCAAAATGTTATAACAAACGAAGAAAAATTGTTTTTTATTTTTGTTTGTTTTTCTTCAAAATATTTAATATAAATACCACCAAAAGAAAGCTCTATGATGATAAATGATGATTTAATTTGGGTGCAGTGTTGCATGATCATGCAATTTGTGCATGGTGTGACAGTGCTGTAAGCTGAAAATTGGCCTGAGTGGGAAGGGAGTAAAAGTGTTCGGTACTGAAGTGGTTAACAGATGTAACGATGTGTATAAAGACATAAACCGACTTACTGGTATCTAAATATTGTTGAACATTTAGGCTTCAAACAAGTTACCACTCTTCTGTGCTACACTGGCTTCTCTTTTATATGCTGAGAAGAGTAGAAAATGGGATGTCATTTTTCAACCCTTGAAATGACTTGCAAGGCAGAGTATTCTTGATGTGGCAAGGTGCATTGTTATCCAAATCACGTGACTCTTTGTTTGCATGTGTGGCAACTTTAAAATGACCTAAGCCTTGCTATTAATTTTTCCATGCACAGGTACTCCACTTTAAACTTGTTTGCTTTATTATCCATTTGGTAAGTGTGAATTTTCACACACAAATAATTCCATCAACTGTACCAGGGTGTGCTAATCTCTTCTGGTTTTCATTACTAATAGAACTTCGCAAAGTAGGTATATGAAGATTATTTTGTTAGATAAAAATAGACTTGTAGTATTTTACAGAGGAAACCTGATAAACAGCAGACATTCCAGCCAGCTTTGACTTACTGAAATGTCTGGAATAGTTAGCTGCTTCAGGAACACTGCTCCTGTGTATTATTGTAGCAGTGTGTTCTGTTTTTAATTGGCAATATGATGTGCAAGTGGGTTCCAGAATTGTGGTTTTCATTCAGATTAAAAAAAAAAAGAACCTTTTTTTTAAGGGTTCACCAAAAAAGTTTAGTAATGATAGGCTTCTAAGCATTATCTACTGCATTTTGCATGTACTGAACCTTTCGGAACCTAGAGAGCAAGACAAATCAATAGTTTGTCAGTGCTTGTGGGCTAAATGATAAACCATCTGTTTTCTTTTCTTTTTGTAGGATTGACAACTCTTCTTATTGTTTCCCACTCTATACTTTCCTACCCTTGAGTCTCACCTCTGATGCACTTGGATAACTTCTCCTTCACTTTTGTCTTCAAGTTTGTTTTAAAACAAATGAATAGTCTTAAAAAAGATGCATTCCTGCTGTTTAGTGTTTTTTCCTCAGAAATCCATGCATACAGCCCACTATCAGCCTGATTAAAAGTTTCAGCTTGTATGCAAGGGATGGACATATAAGGAGAAGATAGGAAATACACATTGCCCAATAAAAAAAAGTAATCCAATGCAGTTTTCAAATGTTAATGGTGTACATTTCCTGAAATAAGCACCCAAATTTTGCAACATCCTCTATATTGATAAAGAACTATGTAAATGGTAAATTACACTAAGAAGGTATAAGATGCAGCAGGGGCGTACCTACAGAGGTTGCAATTGCAACCTGGCCCCATGTTGCAGGGGACCCATGCAGCCCCCCTGTAGGCCTGGATACAAGGGGCAGCTGCATATAGAGGAATTCATCTCTTCATGTTCCTCCTGCTGAATGCCTGCTTCTCCTCTACTCCCTCCCACAGGCATTTAGCAGCTGCAGGAGGAACATGGAGAGATCTATTCCTCTGTATGCAATCGCCCCCGCCGCTCCTCCTATCCGCTTCTTTCTGTGGCCCCCCCATGCTCTGTTTACTATGCATCAGTTTATGGTAGGGCAATTACCAGGGTCACAAAGGTCACATTTGTGACCGGGCCCTGGCGTTCTGCTACTGGGTTTGGTGGGAAGGGCCCCAGCCGGGAGTCAGGGGTTGGGTTTGGGGGGATCAGAGCCCTGAAGGTTCTAGTTATGCCATTGAGATGCAGTATAAATGAGATTAGGCAATAGTAGTATAAATAAGGCTCTTCACACTGCATTGATTGGCTTTTCTCCAAACAGGATATAATCCAGTCACTGTAAGGGCATTTAGAAAACAGTTGTTTTTCACATGCCTTGTTGACACCACAATGCTGTTGGGGTGTGCTGTGCACAAAAATGCAGACATGCTACTTTCTTTCACAGCGCACTGGATGGCATTGCATTTCACCACACTACAGCACAATGCACGGCGCTGCTGTGTAGATACATGAAGTGTTACTAGCTTCACAGCTACCTGTGCACAATAAACAATGCCATTACCATGCAGGCTAGCATGTGCCAGCCCTTTATTTAGAAAGCTGCTTACTTATAACAATGTAAAAGCGAACAAATGTAACCATTTTAGAAGATCTTTTTAAGGGTAAAAACAACCAAAAATAACATTTGCCGCCTTAGCCAAAGTAGATCTCACATGTGCATTTGCCACATCTCACAGCACATTTCTAATTTACTGTAATTGTGTGCTTTGTGAGAGACAAATTGTGATCTGTATAATGCAAACCAGAATGCTGAACAAGCCAGCTAATTGAGCTGCGGTGTGGACATTGACAGTTAAACCAACTTTTTATTTTAAACAAATATTCATTTAAAAAGAACATAGTTTATTACGGTTATAATTTTGGTTAAAGAAAACCTGTAGTCTCTGACATTTTACATGCATTGATACATTCCAAATAAAAGGAGAATTTTTGAAGACCAAAGCAGCTGGGCATGGAAACCAGTCACTTCTGTCTTTCATTTTCATAGCTAACTGAACAAGGTGAAGAAGCTGATTGGTCAGCATGCAAAACTGCTCCAGATTCTGTATGTTCCAGTTTTAGAAAGAATCCCCCTCCTCATTATTAACACATGCTTTTTCTGGCAGTATTTATAGGCATCCCAGCTGGTTTGCAATCTCATGTGTAGGATTGTGCAAGCTATCTGACCACTGACTTGATTTTAAGTAAATGATCAGTTAAGCAGTTATTGCCTTACCCTGTGCCTCAGGTGATGGCAGAATGGACTGCAGAGAGCAGTGTTGCTCCTCCCAGTCCTGCCATATATTTACCCACTTTATTGAAATTACAGCCTTGCCCTGCACATGACGTCCCATGGAGCTAGCTATTTTTTGCTTCCAACTAATGCAGGCAGTGCTATGAGTCTCTCCCACTTCCTCAGATGTTATGACAATAGCTTGACAAAATAGCGGAAAGCTTGATTAAAGTGGTTGTAAAGACATGTTTTTTTTTTAATTATAATCATGTTATACTTACCTTCTCTGTACAATGGTATGTTCATTTAGACACTTGTGTTCTCTGTGCACTGTGTTGAGGTGTTTATTTTGTGCAATGCACCTCAATGTGTCACCGCAATGTGTCACTGCATGTTGTAGTGTCATTTTGTGACCGTGAACTCTTTGGCTGAAATGTCAGTCTGCAGAACAAGCAAACTCTGAGCCCTTAAATCTTCCAAACTATAGTCCTCTTTGGTATGAAAGTAAGGAAGATGTCAGTTGGCCTTTTTAGACTCCTTGGATGCCTGGGTAAGAAACATGAGTCCAGGTGCTGCATGCTAAAATTCTGCTCTGTGCCGCCTCCCCACTTCATGTCATCAGTTGTGTTTTTTTGGGGGGTTTTTTCTCCCAACATTTTCACTTTTCCAAAAGGAGGCATCTGTCTTATCTTGGATCTGAATGTTCCCTATATTCCTGCACATCTGTGCCACCTCGCTTCATTCATCTCTCCATTTTGTAGCCCTACCATTTGGTCTATATTTTGCACCCTGGGTGTTCAACAGGATACTGGCATGCATGCTAGCCTTGCTATGCTCCCAGACAATTCCTCTTGCACTGCTGAAGGTACACTTTAAAAAGTAAACACTGAGGAGGAATTTGTTAGAAAAAAAACCCGCAAATATGTTATCGGTTTCATGAAAAAAAGTGAGCCAACTGTTTCTAATCTACCTCAGCTTTTGTGTAATCCTTGTGTTTTTATCCCAGTTATGTTTAAACTGAAACAAAACTTGGTTTTTATTGGTATTCATTGTAAATGCTGTATTTCTTTTCTCCCCAACAGAAACTTGGCTGATGATGAAAGGTTTACTACTACTGGACCATGTTAACTCGATTTCAGAACACCTGCGACTTTTCTTGCAGTCCTCTGCTTATCCAGAGAACTGTTTGCTCAGGCACAACAGTTTATTCATTTGAATGGGCTGCTTTGCCGCGTGTCTCACACAAAAAAGATGCATGCACCTTTTTAAAAATGTGGCTGAAAGGTCTTTTTGACCTTGCAGTTTCCCTGTGGTTTCTGTATCCATGATTGGGCAGCGGACTGAGATGCTTGGGGGTGCCATACAGAATGAATAGCAGCCCCGTCTGTCTTGCAAGAGCAGCGCAATTTGGGTGTGGCAAAAGATCTTTAACATGTTGAATTGTTAATGCTCAGTCATGGTTTAATGTAATGCAAAGCTTTAGGCTTGTAAACCGTAAATTCAGTAAAATGAATTATAATGGATTTGTATATCTAACTGTTATGTTGTTAATACAGGTTACTGTGTTTCTCACAAATGTAGAGTTTTTGTTTTTCTTTCAACACTTCTCACCTTCTGCAACTCCCTGTGAGCACATGGTACCTTATGTGGTCCAGAATTCTTCCTGTAATATCCAGTTCACAAGCCATGCTGCACCTTTTCATAAAATATTCATTCCTATATTTGGTTTTCCCTTGTGATCATTTCTACAATTATTTTCAGCTATGTATTTTTATTATCCTTTATTTTGATTAGAACAAACCTATGTTTCCTTAACTTCTACTCTTCAGGTGGTGTTTTCTTCATCCAGGAAGGCTTTGTGCTTCAACACTTGGCTGCTCTCTTTGAATGGACCTTTATAATAAATGTTCTTGTCTACTATGGAACTTTTGCCTTTGAATTTGGGGCAATCACCACAGATACATTCCTGGTGCTCCTCAAGGCAAGCAGGGCCCCAAAGAGTTATAAGTCAGGAACCAGCACTCCAGCCACACCTCATGCTCACAGCACTTCTGAGAATTTGGCCATGATATGACTGTACCAGAGTGCTAACACGAACATCACATGCAATCCCTGAGCCGCCTTACTATACTAAATAACATCAGAACATTTCACTGTGCAAAGGAGGCTCAATTTTATGGAGGGCTGATCACGTGACCAAAAACTTTTTTTTTTTTTTTTTTTTAAGATTAACAAGAAAAAAGTTGATTGCTTTATGTTGACTGTTATGATGTTGGTGATAAAGTTTAAGATACATTATATGTACAGGGCATTAATGATTTAGCCATAAAATTGTATATTTTTATATAGTGCATTTCTATAATCGCCACAAAGAATATCTGACGGCAAAAGGTTAGTGTCCAATACACAATATGCCAATTTCAGTATATGAAAACTATTGAATAAGTGGTGCAATGGTAAAGAAAAAGTAGAACTTGGTATTAGCGGTTATAATATGCTGTACCAAGAATATCACCTAGGAGGCCTTATAAATGAGAACAGTGAATGTTGAGTCCTTGGAGGGGGCAGTGTAGTATATTTGCCTTAATGAGACTTATCTGAAGTTACTTTTCTTGTTGGAAGTCTGTGTAATACTAGTTGTAAAATGTACTAAAACAAAGGGGACCTAAACTAGATCTATTATACTAAGTCTGCTGAAGTGATGGGGGTCATCTCATCTAAACGCTGATCTTTCCCTTCAAAAGAAAAACCTAGCCAGGCACATAGGCTTTTTGACCCCATGGTCAGCACTAAATCCTGTAGCAACATTTTCAGCAAAAAAGGGTACTTCAGTCTTCCCTTTACTTTTGTATGCATGCATCCCATCAGCACTGTTAACCTAACTTCGCTTTTTTTTAGAATCACACCCATAGTTCTAGTTCCTATACATCAAACAAAATGCCTTATTATCCATCCAATATAATGACAACCTTCACCACCTAGCTTTATCCAGGTAATTCATTATGCTGTCTTTGTGATGGCCATATGACTAGTAGTACTACAAGTACTTAATGTGCTGCAACCCTTTGTATCAATACAATAGGTGTGTGGACAGGTATGATGTCTTGGTTTAAGCTAATTTAATACCTGATGCATTGTGCTTCTAGAAGTCATTTTTCAACGGATTTTGTTTTGGGTAGGGTTTGGAAGAGTTATATCTGGTTATACTTGATGCCTTCATATCCATTAAGATTTTTACTCAGATTTTGAAAGTTCTCATGTGGCCACATAGAGATGATTTCTCATCCTGAGGCCAGTCACCTAAACAGTCAGCCGTTAACGCATGATAGAGGTTCTAACCTTTCCTCACTCTGCTCTGCTTGCCTGCCCTGGAAAAGATACTTAGATGCTCTTTTTAAACAGACAGGAATTAAGGAAAATGGGACATTAAACTCAACAGAGGTTCTAATCCGTTTCACAATATCCAAAAAACAAAGTAAATTGTGTGGCTTGCAGTTGGGCTTTAACACTTTCGCTGCCCGAGCCATTTTTGCATTTTTTTTGCACACATTTAAAAAATTGTTGGCCTAAAGATTGCATAAAACCCCCCAAAACATAGTTTCTGAAAGCAGATACCATAAAGAATAAAATAGTGGCAGTTCCAATTTTTTATGTTACACAATATTACCACAAAGGTAATAAAAAAAACTCTAAAGTTAATTTTAAAACACAAATGAAATAAATCACTCAATTTTTTTGTAAAATAAGGAAAATTAGGTTGCACCGAGTAAGTATATACCCAGCATGACAAACCTTAAATTTGCTTGCACCCATGAAATAACAAACTGGAGTACCCTATATTTTCCATAAGGGGATGCTTTAAAAGCCCCTTATAGGTCATCAGTTACGGAGGAGGTTTGGTGGTAGAAATATTGCTCTCACTCTGGTGTGTGTACAGGCTCCCCAACACATGCAATTCTTTTTTTTTTTGGGGGGGGGGGGGGGCTTGGGTTTTTTACAATTATGAAAATATTTATATATATATAAAATATATATATATATATATATATATATATAATATGTACAGTGGGGCAAAAAAGTATTTAGTCATCCACCAATTTTACAAGTTCTCCCACTTAAAAAGATGAGAGAGGCCTGTAATTGGCATCGTAGGTAGACCTCAACTATGAGAGACAAAATGAGAAAAAAAAATCCAGACAATCACATTGGCTGATTTGGAAAGAATTTATTTGCAAATTATGGTGGAAAATAAGTATTTGGTCACCTACAAACAAGCAAGATTTCTGGCTCACACAGACCTGTACCTTCTTCTTTAAGAGGCTCCTCTGTCCTGCACTTATTACCTGTATAAATGGCACCTGTTTGAGGTTGTGGACAGGTGTCTTTTATACTGATAACAAGTTCAAACAGTCACACTCCAAACTCCACTATGGTGAAGACGAAAGAGCTGTTGAAGGACACCAGAAACAAAATTGTAGACCTGAACCAGGCTGGGAAAACTGAATCTGCAATAGGCAAGCAGCTTGGTGTGAACAAATAAACTGTGGGAGCAATAATTAGAAAATGGAAGACATACAAGACCACTGATAATCTCCCTCGATCTGGGGCTCCACGCAAGATCTCACCCCATGGGGTCAAAATGATCACAAGAACGGTGAGCAAAAATCCCAGGACCACACGGGGGGACCTAGTGAATGACCTGCAGAGAGCTGGGACCAATGTAACAAAGGCTACCATCAGTAACACACTACGCCGCCAGGGACTCAGATCCTGCAGTGCCAGATGTGTCCCCCTGCTTAAGCCAGTACATGTCCGGGCCCGTCTGAAATTTGCTAGAGAACATTTGGATGATCCAGAAGAGGATTGGGAGAATGTCATATGGTCAGATGAAACCAAAATAGAACTGTTTGGTAGAAACACAACTCGTCGTGTTTGGAGGAGAGAGAATGCTGAGTTGCATCCAAAGAACACCATACCTACTGTGACGCATGGGGGTGGCAACATCATGCTTTGGGGCTGTTTCTCCGCAAAGGGACCAGATCGACTGATCCATGTACAGGACAGAATGAATGGGGCCATGTATCGTGAGATTTTGAGTGCAAATCTCCTTCCATCAGCAAAGGCATTGAAGATGAAACGTGGCTGGGTCTTCCAACATGACAATGATCCCAAACATACCGCCCGGGCAATGAAGGAGTGGCTTCGTAAGAAGCATTTCAAGGTCCTGGAGTGGCCTAGCCAGTCTCCAGATCTCAACCCCATAGAAAACCTTTGGAGGGAGTTGAAAGTCCATGTTGCCCAGCGACAGTTTGCCCCAAAACATCACTGCTCTAGAGGAGATCTGCATGGAGGAATGGGCCAACATACCAGCAACAGTGTGTGCCAACCTTGTGAAGACTTACAGGAAACATTTGACCTCTGTCATTGCCAACAAAGGATATATAACAAAATATTGAGATGAACTTTTGTTATTGACCAAATACTTATTTTCCACCATAATTTGCAAATAAATTCTTTCCAAATCAGCCAATGTTATTGTCTGGATTTTTTTTCTCATTTTGTCTCTCATAGTTGAGGTCTACCTATGATGCCAATTACAGGCCTCTCTCATCTTTTTAAGTGGGAGAACTTGCACAATTGGCGGCTGACTAAATACTTTTTTGCCCCACTGTGTGTGTGTGTGTGTGTGTGTGTGTGTGTGTGTGTATATATATATATATATATATATATATGTGTGTGTGTGTATATATATATATATATATATATATATATATATATATATATATATATATATTGTTTTTCATCACATAGGAGACAAGATAAGTCTTCTATATCATGTGTTTTTTTTTTTTGTTTTTTTTTTTGGTTTGTGTTGGTTTCTCTGAGGGTCTCCCTGGATGTCTCCCCTATGCTCCACTGAATGTAATACAGTGCAGATGTAATGTAATACTCTACAGCCACTGGGAGTCTGTGCACCCCCCCCCCCCCCCTTCATGTCAGATCTATATGAAGTACGGACCTGGCAGCAAAAGGGGTAATGGAAGGATTGTGACCTGATCATTGCACTTTCCACTGAGTTATTAAACAAAGCCAGTTTTCCCAAAGTGGAAAGCAATCCAAACCATTTCAGTAAAATTTGGCACTTTTATATTGTAAAACCGACCTGCTTACAGTGTAGGGAATGTGCCTTATAGATTACTATGCAAAACTGCATATTTGGGTTGATACATATACAGCAGGAAGCTTTGTATTGTAATATGGTTGTGCTCTACCAATAAGAGTGCCTTCTCATTCACAACTTCCCTGGTTTAACCTGCTTTGACACACAGGACTGTGAAACCATACAGTACATGAACAATTATGCAGACACTTTGGCAGTTAATGCTGACCTGTGTGTCTACATCCCCCACCCAACACCTGTTCCCTATGCTTTAAATTATCCTACAGTCTTGGATGCATGCAGATGCATTGTAATGTAAATAAAAATGTAAACTACGTGCTCAAATTGTCCACACATGGATCAAAGTCCAGCCAGTTCAGCAGGGACCGGACTAATTTCAATCAATGTATGGCAACTGTTTTTGAACAGAAGTCAATCCTACCAATGGACTTCCTCTTTAACCGTCCTGTCAGTATTTTGTCGTTGTGTGTATTCTGACAGGAGGGGAGTCTCTCCACCAGATTAAAAAAAAACACAGTAGGGAGGATTCTCTGTTTTTTTTTGTTTCTTTTCTCTTTCTTGCAACCCACTGGTTGAACAAAAAAACGGACTCTTGTATGGCCAGCCTTAGACTCAATTTTGGGAATGGTTGAATGCTGAACGTCAAGATAAGCAAATAGGGTCTTAAATACAGGAGTCCCTTCCTGTAAAGATACTAGTCTCTGCAGCTGTCTCCTTATCTATGGTGACTGGTCTTGTATCTGCCTCCTCTTGAAATGCTCTGCAGGCAAACTGTAGAGGGTAGGCCTGTTGCTTCCCTTTCACATTTGCACAGGCTTTGTCAGCGCAATGATGATGTCACCACTGCTTTTACAAGGTACTACCTGGGTTTGCAATGGCATTTTCTTCACTCT